ACCTCCGGGGCAGACAGGGATGGAACTCATGCTGAAGTGGCTTTAGCTTCTTAGTGCTGTGCTTTAACCCGCTGTGCCACCAGGGAGGGCCCTCTGGAGACATTTTAAAAGCAAAGGTATTATCATTTGATAATTTAATGTGAGCATTAGAGAAAGAACAAAGTCAAAGATGTCTCCCAGGTGTTCAGCCTAAGTGGTACAATGGAAAATGCCGAACTGGGGAAGAGATTGAAGAAGACTGGGGAAAAATTATCTGCCCAGAAAAGAGGCCAGAGACTAGATGCTGGTACCTGGGACAGGGCCCTGCTCCCCTCTCTCCCCACCTTCTCATTCCTTTGTCTCTAAGCTGCTGGAGTCAGTGGGGGTTGCATCAGCCTTCCACCTATCGGTCCTTCTAGTTGCCCAATCAATCAACAACCTCCTTTTGCTCAGTTCCTCTTTCTTTTCCACTGAACAGTCACCTACGGAATGCTCACAGTGCATTTCACGTGCTTTACATGCATCGTCTTGCTCCCTCTTTGCAACAACCTTAGGAAACTAGAGTTCTCTGAGTTTAACTTTCAGGTCCAGTGTCACACACTTAGAAACTAGCAAAGCCAGGATTCAAACTAGCCCTTCTAGCTATAAAGCCTGCCCTTAATCAGGGTGCAATCCTAAACCTGGAAGTGGCCCAGAAATACTGCTCCCTCCTGCAACAACTTTCTCCAGCACTTTGCTCTTTTCTTACTAAGATTCACTCCAGACTTATGTCCTCCAAGATAGTGTCTTTCAGAAACTCCCAGACTCCTGTCCCTTCTTGTGAGAAGAATGTGAACCAGGATTCTCTTGCTATGGTATTTTTCATTCTTTGAATTCCTGCTGGACCCCAAGACCTTTCACTACCACTTTCCATAAGGAAGTGAAAGACAGCTTTTCTGGAGTAATCCTGTTGGGAAATAGGACCAAAAGACCTCTGGTCCAGGCCCCCTAAGGAAACAAGAACACAAGCACAAAAGCAGAGGTAGTCAGTACTCTGGAGTATCTTATCTCCTAACTCGACAGGGTAGGACAGATGCCAGATGCCTTGGGATTTTGAAGTGAGCAGGAACATCCTGCATCAAAAATGTTCCTTGGTACTTAACCAGGTGACGGCAACAAGTGTTTACATATTTTAATACTCATTAAGCTACATATATTTTATGATATCCTCTATCTCTGTTTTGCTTTACAATAAAAAATAATGAAAATGGTACTACAAAAAAAAAATTAGTGCTGGATATCCCTAAAATAACCATATCAAAATGAAAAGTTAAAAGCATGGTTCACCTTCTCATGCACAACTTTTGTTCTTTCACATGTTTAAAGTACTTTAGGAAAGAATAAAATCTTTAAATCAAAAAAAAAAAATGTTCCTTGGTGCCACCTCATGAGTTCTCATGGTCTCTGAGAGGCAACTGGCAAGGACAAAGATAAAGACACAGAATTTCTGTTAGTAACAAAAATATCCCTTAAAACCAGGTGTCTTGTGCTTTATTCTCAAACCCAGAATATCCTTAATCAGGGTCCTATATTTGTTGAAGAGAAACAGGGAACTGAAGGTAGTTGCATGTTCTCTGGTAAATCTCCACTGCTCTCCTAATCCAGTTGGGAGAGGTCTATTTGGCTCTTCTGCAGGTAACTGCCTGTAGAATTCTTTCTGCTGGCTGCCCTGTGAGTGTTTGCCTGGAAGGTACCATCTCCTGTCAGTTACCTGTCTGTCAAAGCTTCTACTTCCTTCCCCAGGGTGTTTCTCTGACAAGCTGCCACTTCTCCTGACTAGTAAAAGTATCTGCTGGGCAAAACGCCTTTTCCCCCACGCCCCACTGAGGGCACAGAGGACCTACCTGATCAGACTTGCAGAGACCCTAGGAGCAAATGGATTCAGTTGGCAGCTACAGTGGAAGCAGGGACTCAGAGAGCCAATTCAGATAATAACCTAGGGGCTGGGGGGAGGGATCAGGAGACATGTTCTGAAGTGAGAACCAAGATGGAGGCAGCTCTCAGCCCTACCTGCAAAGTCTGACATGAGCTGAGGTACAAAGCTGGGATCCCCTCATGCTGCTGCTGCACAGCCATGCAAAACCTGTCAGTGTTCAGTTTGCGTCTCATAAGCCTCATAAAGACTCCCCCTGCCCCTTACACTTGGTTGCAAAAGAAACAGTTCCTCCAGCTTAAATGGGCTCTGCTTAGGAGGTAGAGATCAGGCATTTTTTTCCCTGCACAAACCATGCTTTGGGGTCAGCTGTCCTGCAATGAAATCTTGGCTCTATTACTTATCAGCTGTGAGGTCAGAACAAGTCACTATAAGTAAGCTTCAGCTCCCTCATCTGCAGAACAGGATTTTACTGGCCAACTTCTGGGACTGCTGGGGGATTGCAGGTGGGTGCTCAGCAGAGGGCCCAGCATCCAATGGGTGCGGCAATGCAGCAGCTATCACTCTGCACATCCCTGAAAGGACAAGGCAGAGGGCATGTCCCCTGGATGGCCTGTCTGCCAGGTCCATGGCGGATTCATGAGTGGCAGGGTGAAAGGCTGCACAGGGGGTCTGCTTGGCCATGTGGTAAATGAGAATAATAATTCTCCCCTTCCATGCTAAAGGGTCCCTGCTGCTCCTGTGCTCTCACCCCCTTGGAAGGGAGACTCGCTACATAAATGCAAGGCTGCATTTTTAAAATCAAAGGAACAAAAATCAACTCCACCACAATGCCGCCTTCAGCAACCTGTTCTTTTCACTCAGACCTTTGTAGTGTTTCAACGACAAGGGGATCGGTTGCCAACCTTGTCATTCCGTTTGGGGCAGGAGAGCAGAGCTCCTTTACCCCTCCTCTTTCCCATTGTCAAAGACCACCCAGTGAAACTTGCTGGCAAGCTGCCACAGTCCAGACAGGCTAAAGCCAGGCCTCACTACCCAGTCTCCCTCTCTACAACACAGGGCTACAGCATAAAACACCTGACTGAGGGGCTTTCACCTGAAGCTGATGTGGCCTTTTCGATGGCAGATCACCAAAGGTGTCCAGGAAGAGTTCAGGTGTCATCTTTGAAGGCCTGTTCTTTGGAAGCTTCCTTATAATCTAACTTTGGCTTTAACACAGCAGATTTTGATATAAGGTGTTTCCTACAAAACGTCGATTCATAGTGTCAGTCGTAGACAGCTGTGAGTCGCCATCACTTTATTTGAAAAAAAGGGCCCTGTGCTGATGGATAGCATGATGAAACACCCCTCAGTAGGCACATATACATAAAAAGGAAAGAGAATCAAGAGGAGAGATCATTTGTGAAGTAATTAAGAGCAGAACCCCCAATTTTCCTTTCCAATTAACTGTGCCCCATGCCTAATAAATCTGCTGGGATAGTAATGCTGGGTAAGTTAAGACTAGTTAAAGCAATAGACTGGGACTATTCTGGAAAACTATGGCAGGTCAAGGGAAGGGGAGGGGGACCCCTTTTCCCCTTTCTCCCACTGAAGCTACTTATAACTGGTTGTAGATAAACTGTCTTAAGACTCAGATTTCTGAGATTCTGTATTCAATGCACAGATTCCAGTTTTGAACTTTTCTCAAAAAAAAAAAAAAAAAAAACAAACTCTCTGAACTTAAAACTCTCCTGTTCCAAAGAGAAGAAGAGCCTGTTGTCTGTTGAGGAACAGTAAGTTTTCAGGGACAAAGTAAGGAACATGTAGAGGTAGAACATTTCGGTACTGCCCACTCTGCCTGTAAGAGTCAGCCCGATACCGACTCTCCTCCCTCAGGAGACTTTCTTAATTGGCCCAACCAAGTGACTGCACACTGGAGTTAGCACTGCAGGGCTCTGCACTTCCCTGCCCTTCAGTAATGGAATTCTAAGTGGTGTGGACTCTGGTATTGATTTCAGACACACAGTGAGTACTCAATAAAAGCCTGTTGAAAGGATGAAGGCTCCAATCTATACACACGTCATCACCCTCATCTCATCCAGTGCTGTCCAACTTATTTTGGAGGAGAAAAAACATTCTTTTGCCATGCTTTCTGCTGCTCAGCTTCATTTGAGTTTTTTTTTTTTTTTAAAGATTTATTTATTTGTGCATACAGAACTGGGTTACAGGCCAGAGGCTCAGGGGCAGTGAGAGGCCTCACCAGAGACAGAGCGGGGAGCAGGACAGGCAGATCGATGAAGTACACTCCTGAGGGGAGCAGCGGGCGGGTCAGGAGACGTCTGCCACGCCATGTGGTCACCTCCGGGGCAGGCGGGGATCGAACTCATGCGGAAGTGGCTTTAGATTCTCAGTGTTGTGCTTTAACCCGCTGCGCCATTTGAGTTCTTTTTCATTCAATCCTACTAACTTCTTATGTACTTCCCTATTACTAACCAGAACTAGATGAAACCTTCCTCAACATTTTCTCTGGCAGCTGACTTGAGTTCACTGAGTGTTATTGGCTCTGGTCTTTCTCCTGTGATTTCCTCTACTGCCCGGTAATCCTGTCCTAAACATCAAAGGCCTTCTTTGAAGATAAGGCCAAATTCACCATTAGGAAAAGAGAAATTATTTCCTAACTTTATTTCAAAAGATAGGACGACACAGGATCCCTCTGGGTTTTGGGGGATAAACACTACCCGGTACATCTGATGACAAGGCAAACGCTGTACTACCACTGAGAGAGACATAAACACAGGACTTTCCTCCCTGAGCCCAAGCCCGAGCCAGGCTTCTCCACAGCAGCCTCAGACTCCAAGTCCCAAAGTAAATGGTTTGGTGGAGGTGGGAGGGACAGAGATGGGGAAAGAGGTTCACATATCCACTTTAGGGCACACAGGTCATGAAGGCTCTGATTAAAATAGTATCTGAGTTGAATTAGAATCAACCAGTTTAATCCAGATTCTACTCAACTCAGGACATTCCCAATAGTAAAGCATGAGAAACTCTATCTTTATATACAACACAAAACCTGAGAAAACGGACTGATCCAATAGCCCAGAGATAGCAGACTGTGGGCAGAAATCCTCACCTGCTTCTACTTCACTGCTGCTACCCTCAGTCGGTGCGAATGTTGACAGGACTTCATGGGTCATGAGTTCCAGGAAGCTTGTTCTGGGGCTGAGGAAAAGGAGAAGTGTTTCATCTTTGAACAACTAAGAAACAGTTCTGAAGTACTAGTTTTTTATAACTATGAGGTCCATTGTCATATTCTTTATTAATTCATTTTATAGTAGATTAAAGAGGAAAAGCAGTTTTTCTAAGATCACCAGCTTACTTAAATCTTCAGTTACCTGATTTCATCCTAGAAATGAAAGGAACAATGATTTGATTTTGTCTGTTCACCTTACACAACCATAATCTCTGTCTAGCATCAATATTCCTCAGATATGTCTACAGAGTAGGCCTCCTACAATGTGGGCTGGCAGGGAGGAAGTCTGAAGTGGTAAGGCTGCAAGCAAGGATGAACCCAAAAAAACACTGTGGTCCAGCTACTTGACAGGCCAGCCTGGCTTCAGCTGAAGGAGCAGTATGATGAGGTGGGACCCAGTCACATGAAAGACAACTGCGAAGTCTTGATTGTAATCTTACACAGTTTTTAAGCTGGGTGGTTATTCTTTTACGGGCATGATGGAAGAGTGAGTGGGGTGGCAACAGGAAAACAGTGGGGAGTCTGGCCATGTGTCAGCACCTCTTGTCAAGGGCATGAACAAGCACGATGGTAGCAGGAATGGGAATGAAGTACAGAGGGTAGAATAATAAAAGGGCAAGAAAAACTGGACAGCTCAGGGAGGCCTCCACAGTGCAGCGGACACCCAGAGACGAGTTATTTCAGTGGTTTGAGTTCCTTTGCACGGAGTTGATAGGCAGAGCCAAGACTCCAGCTCAATTTCCCTGTCTTAAGAGTTGTGCCACTTGAGCTGAACCCTGTAAGCCTTGCTTCCTGCATTCTACCTCACCTCTCTACACCCTACCCAACTTGAGGGCTCCAGAGAGACAAAAAGTCCTATTTAGGAAGGCATTTTGTAAACATTGATTTCTATTTAAAAATAAACACACTGCTCTATCCCAAGCCTCCAGTATTTGATTCAGCTTCATAAATGATGAAAACACTAACAGTGAAGGCTCCATGTAGGGGCACTTTTAGGAGTTAAGTCATTCTCACCAACAGCAGTGTGCTTGGTCCTAAAATGTACAGGGCTGTCTCACTACAAATGAAAATCTTCTTGTGAAAACTATGTGAAAAGTATGTATGCACATGGATGAACAAAAACAGGTTGCATTATAGTATGGGATTGTGGGTAATTAAAAGCTTTTTGTCTTTATTATTAGCAGAGGATTGTACAATAAATAAAAATTGGAAGGGGCAATTTGGAGAACCACCATTTGACTAAGAAAGCCTACTCTCCTGGGACAAGAAAGCTCCCAGCCCAGAGTCTGATGTACTATAAACATTTGCTGAATTGAAATACAGAGATGACAAGAAGTTTCCTATGTTAAACAGATCTTTTTAAATCCAACAAATCACTTTCTTTCCCTTCCCTCCCCAATTTCCCACCTCTTCCCCTCTTTCATATTTTTCCAGATAGCAAGAAGGCTTGGCACGTGAAGGGGAGAAAGCACACACCAAATGTATAATATCCCTTGGTGCTAGGTTAATAGTTCTTATTCAGAGCTCATAAAGTGCTAGAGGTGATTATCTTTGCTCTTGGGCTTCTTTGCTTTCTGTTTACTAGCTTGAAAGGCAGGGAGAGAAACCCTTATTCATTAGCCACATCAGCAACTGCTGAGAACTGAACCCAGATCCCTCCTCTCCTGGGGAATACCGTGACCACTAGACAGACTTCCTTGCTTAAACACTGCAGGTCTCTGGAGATGTCAACCAAATTATTTCAGTAAAATATCCTACTCCTTCTTAAGGCATGGAAACCATAAAGAAGTTGCTGGAGAGAGCTGGGAGCCCAAACACTTGAAAGAGCACTTCAAAGAAAGGAGAATCCTTGGACCCAATTGGAGAATGGAAAGGACATAAATCACCCTCTTATCACATGTTGACCAATCAATTAACAGCCAAGCAGGGTCCTCTCTGTTTTCTTTACACCACCACCCCTTCCCAGCTGTGGTCAAGTAGCCAACCATCCTGGCCTCTATTAACCTCCTCTCCCAAGTAAAGCCAACACCTGTGGCTTGGGCAATTTCTCCTGAGAAAATGTTTCTGGCAATGCTACCCTTCTGAAATCTCTTGAAAGAAAAAAAGGGACAGTGTCTGACATCTCAATCCTGGGACTTTCATAGGAGTTGACAGCCTCCAGCTTCCTGAAGGGCCGAACTCAAAGTAATAAATCTACATGGGGGCAGGCATGTCAACAAAGCAGTGCAATGAGCGACTCTCACTTCTTCCATTTTACCTCTTTCCATAAACTCACTCCAAAATCTCATCTGGCAGGGAGATCATAATTCAACCACTGTTTCCACCTTGCCTTGTCCCACTGACCTCAAGGTGCTTCGAGATTACCATGGGAACCTTCTGGGTTTCAATTACGAGACCATTAAAAAGTGCCAATTATGAGTCCTCAGAAATGTTCCTGGGAAACCTGTTACACACCTCAAAATGGCCAAGCTCTTGCCTCAGTTCCCTTAAATAAAGTTCAGAAAACAGGTCATCCAGATGTTATGGGTGCCCCAGCCCCCACTTCAGTCCAACAACACTGTGTTTTTAGTATTTTCCAAGCTGCCCTTGAGAAAATAGAGATTGATTTATTGGCTGTAACCAAGGGAATGAAAAACCCTCAGAGGTGGGCTGTGATGTCATGGAATAGATCAGAAATGATGCATTAAGAATTCTTAAAATGACATTTATTCAATGGTGATTGTTTGCAAAGTTCTGGCAACAAAGAACCAGATGACAAATGTGGGTTGAGCATTTGGAGGTGATACAGGGCCTGAAACCAAAATATACTGTACATTCAGTCTACTCAGAGAGGTAAGACTGGAGCAAAATCTTATGTAAAACAGCTTGAACTGCCCAGAAGGGATGGAGGAACAGTACAACACCCCACCACACCCAGAAAGTGCCTGTTTAGGACTTGCTGGTGTGCGGTTTGGGTATTCTTAGCTCCACTGCCACATCTATAGAGAACAGGACAGCCTTTCAAGTAACCCTGCATGGCCACCATGTCCCCAAAACAAAACAAATCCTAGGGCTCTTCAAGTTTGCCTGTCAACACGCCATTCTTCAAAAAGCTGTCACCAGGAAAAGCAAACTAATATTGGGCACCCTGAAAGTTAAACAGGTCCTTCAGAAATCCAGGAGAGCATTCTTCCTGGGCTCCTTCAACCTCCCCAAACTCCTTCCCACTTGTTCCAAAGGTTCTTTTCCCCCACCTTCTCACAGTTACACAAAACCCCCAAGAGAACCCCCGGAGGACAACGCCCCCCCACACACACACACTTACATACAATCCCTCTAACTGCCATGCCAACCCTCCACCCCACAGGCACCTTGAGACACCCCATTTCAGCCTCACCCCATCACCCCTCCAGTTAGGGATGATTTTCTGAGGCTGTTTTGCTCTGGATTCAGTCCGCTGGCTCCTTCCTCTTAGTAGGGTCCCTCAAAAACGCCAATCTGATAAACTCTCACCCCACAAGAAGCCACATGTGTGTTGGATGGCTCTATGAACTGGCCGACCCCGAGGTTCTAAGAATGTTTCCCCACGGCCTGGCGCAAATGGCTAAAGCACTGGTGTCAACCTTCGCGGGAAGTTTGGAGGCTGTCCCGGCCCTTCTTCCACCCGAGAAGCTTCCGGGAACCGCCGGGCGCCCTGGGTCCGCAGGGAAGGTGACCCAGAGCGCCGCGCACATGCACCCCGCAGCCCTCCTCACCCCACTTCTCCGGCCCCGCGCCCGCTGCACCCTTCCTCGGCCGCAGCCCCAACGGGAGCCCCAGAGTCCAGCGCTCCAACGAGCTCCGCGGCCGGTGCGTCCCCATCTGCCACCCGCTGGCGCTTCCAGCAACACCCGGCCTGAGGCCGCCTCCCACCCCCTCTCCTCCCCAAACCAACAAATAAACACAACTTTTTATGAAAAGAAAACAAACTTCAGCGACATGACTCACCTCTGGTGCAGCCGGCTCCTGGGCAGGACGAGCCGGGGCCGGGGCCAGCGTGGTGGGCGCGGAGAGAGCCACACGGCGCCGCACGCCGCCGCGACACGCGAGTCACACGGGGACACCCCGGACACGCAGCACCCGAGCGCGGCCGCGGCGGGAGCAACAAAGAAGCCCAAGACCCGGAGTTGCCCGCCGGGCAGGGAGGGCGCGTGCGGCGGGTGCGCGTGGCTGCGGCGGCCGGAGTGTGCGCGCTTGTGTGTGTGTCCGCGCGCGTGTGCGTGCGTGCGTGTGTGTGGGTGTGCGTGTGAGTGTGCGTGAGCACGAGGCGGCTGACACGGGCGGCCAGGGGCTCAGGGTCCCGCAGGCAGGAAGCGGGGGCCGCGGCGGCGGCGGCGGCAGCAGCAGAAGGGCAAGGCTGGGGACGCCGCGCCCAGCGCACCCGGTCCCTCCATATGGAAGAAGCTTTTTTGGATGACTGAACTCGCAAACAATTCCTTCTTTTGCTTCTCCTGCTTAGGAGCCTCCCATTAACGCGCGCGGCCAAGGAGGAGGGGAGCAGAGGAGGCGGGGAGGAGGGGAGGAGCGAAATGAAGCAAAGAAAAAGACTTGGAAAGGAAGCTGGAAAAAAAAAAAAGTCCCCCAAACTCCGGGGCAGTTTTTCTCCAAACACCCACTTTCTTTCTGTTGTGCCTTCGCTCTGTGCTCTTATCCAACTTGTTTTCTTCGTCATATCAAAAACATTGTCCTCTGCTTTTTCACCCACGGACTCCCCCGAACCCCCTATTTTCTAACTTCACCTGAGACCCTTGCTTTCTGTGCTACCCTTCCTTCCTCTGGCCCAGATACTTTTCCCGAAGGTATTTTCTGACATCCCCTCTCAAAAGAATGATCCGTCATTCTACAAACAAACTTTTGGACAAATGATTTAAAGCAAACTTTCTGTTATTAGTCAAAGGTGCACCCCCACACACCATGGGGGTGGGGAGGGTAGTGACTGTGGAAAA